CTCTCTCAAATTAAATAAAAACCTAAAAAAAAGGTAAACCATGGGGCTCCTGGGTGGCTCAGTCACTTGGTTAAGTGTCCTACTTTGGCTCAGGTCATGACTTTTGTGGTTTGTAGGTTCAAGCCCCACATCAGGCTGAGTGTTGACAGCTCAGAGCCTGGAGCCTGCTTTGGATTCTGTGTCTCCTCTTCCCCAGCTTGTGCACGCGTGCTCTCTTTCTCTCTCTCTCAAAAATAAATAAACATTAAAAAAAATTTTTTTTAAATGGTAAATCCATTTCCTCCCTTACTGGTTATCTCTATTACACTAAGGAATCCGTATAGGAAAATGCATTACCCAATATCTCTTAAAGTATTCCAGGACACCTAAGAGTCTGTACCTTTTAGACTTCTGCCTACTTGACTACTGTTCTTGTAATCTGAAATTTAAAATCCAATGATACAGGCTTTCTTTTTTTTTTTAAAGGGTATCTTTAGCTTAAGTTTTATAATTAACTTCTTCTAAATTATAGAAAGAATAAAAACTGCCACAGAACAGTGATATATTATCAGTGGAAAAACAAAAGAATGCTCATTTTTTTCAATGGGAAAGGCTATTTGTGGGTTATTACAACTAAAAGATAAAGGAGTTGCATTTATTTTGAAAAAAAAAAAATTTTTTTTAATCTTCTTGTACCCATTGGCTTATTACTTTTCTTTAAACTTCAAAATACTGTAAATAAAAAGAAAGAACTATTAAAACTTGGCTGCCCTATTTATTTACACTAGTCACTAATTAATTCCAAGAGCACTTTAGGATAACTATTAACAGGAATCTGAAACGAATGAAACTTTTAATTACCTTTAATTCCCACTGAAGGGGCTCCTCCAGCTACAGCAGCCAAAGCATATTCAATCTGGACAAGTTTACCAGATGGGCTTAAAAAGAAACAAAGGTATTTGCTAAATTCACATATTCTCAAATACGCATAATAGGAGTATCTCTGAGAGCAGATATATAGGTCAAATCCATTAACTAAACACCAAGGAACAGCTGAGTGTTCACATTATAAAGCTGTACAGAAATTGAGGATACCAGGCAATTTGAACACATACAGAGTAAAGCACTTAGCTTTCCTTTTTTTAATTTCTTCCTCCTTTTTGTCTGACTCTTTAAGCAGCATCATTACTACTGTCGCCTTTTACCATTCACCAACCTTGTGACTTCAGGCAAGGTACTTAATCCTGTTGTGTCTCAGTTTTCACATCCGTAAAAGGGGGTAATAGTACTATACCTATTTCAGAGGATTGTGGTGAAGATTAAATAAAGGCATGCCATTTGTTCCTGGCACAAAATCAGCAGCAAGTAAATACTAAGTAGTGTTACTGAGAACATGTAAGTGACTGTTAAATATCAAGCAACAGCATAGATTTCATATTGATGGAGTTCCACATTTTAGAAAGTAGGCATGGCCCGAGATGTAAGACCTAGATACTTATCAGCCACAACAAAATATCTCCTATATAAACTTATTTCTAGAAGCTGAGAGCTGGTGATACCTACCATATCTGATTTCATGGGTTTGTAGCCAGATTCTAGCCCTTACCTGGCTTTTATGATCCTTTATTTGGAACCAGTTATTGAGTTAAAATCATCAACTAATTTCACAGATAAAGTTTCTGATTGAAAGTAATTTGTCCAGAATGACACAGCTTGGTTTGTATCTCTCATCTACTAGTGAAAATAAAACTTGAGTTTCGGTCATTTATCTTCATAAAATTATGGATACACCCTTTGTCACTCAAGCCTCAGCTTGGTTCCAGACACACTGACTCTTAGAATTCAAAAACCCCTCTGACAAGCTAACCCCTCTGTCATGCAATGCATTTCACCCTTGTCTGGTAAACTTTCCTGGTGATCCTTCAGTGTTTAGGAGAAATGCCTTTCATGTCTGTAAGGAAGCTGTCCTGACCACATGGACTAGGCTGAATCCCCCACACTCATGCCTGTGATGCCCCATACTTCCTCTCTGGCTAATATTCATCACACTTAAATTATTCTTACAATGTTCGTCTTCCTCAACGAAGTCTAAATAAGCTGTTTGGTCAGTATCCTAACATATAACCTAGTAACCAGGAGTCCACAATCATTTATCTGACAAAGACACAAGGAGACCTATTTAAAGGATAAGCCGGGGCGCCTGGGTGGCTTAGTCGGTTAAGCGTCCGACTTTCGCTTGGGTCATGATCTCGCAGTTCGTGGGTTCGAGCCCCGCGTCGGGCTCTGTGCTGACTGTCGGCTCAGAGCCTGGAGCCTGATTCAGTCTGTGACTCCCTCTCTCTCTGACCCTCCCCTGCTCACGCGGTCTCTCTCTCTCTCCTAGAAATAAAAAAAAAAAAAAATTAAAAAAAAAAAAAAAGGATAAGCCTAAGTGTGGCAGTTTAAAGAGTTTAGAGACTCTTAAGTGACAAAATCAGTTAACCTGAGTGGAATAACAGTAATAGGTACTTAAATTTTTAAATTTTTAAAATCAGGCTGTAGGTGTTAGTCACTATTTCAGTAATCATATCATGACTCACTAAGTCTATTCAGCTTTCAATTCTCATTCAACGTAAAGCTCAAGTAGACCTGGGGAACATTGTAAAGGCTCAGGTAAACTTAAACCTACCTTCTCACTGTTCCCACAATGACCTACATAAACATCTACTGTTGCATCTTCCTATATGAAAAAGCTCACCCATCTCTGAGCCCACAGAGCAATCAACCATCTTTGTACTCAGTTAGGGACGAGCCCATTCCAAAGCACTAGCACCTCCACGTGGGATGACTGATGTAGTCTTCTAACTAGTTTTCCTCTTTCCCACCCTTAACTTTTATCTCCCTAGTCAGTTACCTGTGTACCAGGTCACTGTCACTCATATCCCATAATAACTTCCCAGCTCACTTAACATAGAAACTTATTCTAGCCTACGGTCGGTCCTACCAACGCTAAATCTTTGCTCACTATACTCTAGCACACTGGCCTTATTATCAATTCCCGTAAGAGTTCAAGCTCTTTCCAACGTCAGGACTGTCATATATTCTTTCTTCTGTCCACAAGTCTCTCTACCCCTAAATTTTCAAATAGGTCCCTCTTTTTCACCTTCTGGTCTCAAAAATCACCCCGAAGCACTGGCTTTTTCTGAGTATCCAATCTACAGTTATGCTTCTTCTTTCAGGATCTTTTAATACAATTCCTGAGTAAAACATTTTCCAGAATGTATTAGTAGACACCAATTTGTTTACTCATTTGTCAATATCCTCAACTGAATGTAATTCGCAAGAACACTTTTCATCCTATAACATAGCCTCATCACTTCCATCATTAAGAGTTTAATTCTGATAACAGGCTAGAAACACATTTTTAAAATCTAAAACAGAGTTGAACTATCATGTTAAAAAAAAAAAGCTTATTTTACTAAAGCTTATTATTACAGAAGGATGTAGCTCCTGATGATACATCATTCTTTCAGCGCCACTTATTCTAAAGAAAGGATTACACTCTCTTAAAGAACCAACTTTGCTTTGCTCACAAATATGAACAGTGACTATTTAGCAAATATTGTTCTCTATGAGACCTTTTATTACAACATTTAATTTCACTCAAGGTTAAAAAATCTTATCACTAAAACTGCCAAGTGTAAGGAAAATATTTTACTATTTTAAGAAGACCATACAGTAATAGAAAATGTATTAATTTTGTCATGAGAAAGAACCCACTTTGAATGTGACCTCAGCTACTCACCTATGACCTTGGCCAAATTACTTAATTTGACCAACCCGTGGTTGGTTCATCTGTTAAGATGTTCAGATAACATTTATCTCACACGGTAGAAAAGAAATGGTGTAAGTGAAGTTGCACCCACACAGAAAAGTACTCGCAACAAGTTGGATTCTGCTTGCCTTCAGCTGCCAAACATTTCAGCTAAATGGGAAATTACCGATCCGTAAGAAAGTGATCAAACTGAATCATTACCTGGTCGATTTATTAAACCCTTCGCTGATGGTTTTCTTACATTGTGAATAGTTTATCTCCACTGTTATTTCGAAAAATATACGTATTATCTTAATCCTTTGTTCTAGAATAGAAAAGCCTACAATCGTTTGCAAAGTAAAGACACTCCCTTCCCCCCCAAACGTAAATGTAGTCTAGAAGTTTGGGGCCCACAAACACTAGGTGACACAGAGAGATTAGCGCTTTCGCTTTTAGTCCTTCAACTTCTACAGGGGCATGGAAGAAACCGAAAGCGGGAAGGGGATTCTAAGCACCAAATGGAGGCTAAGACTCAGACCAAAGTGTAACGGTGAGGTTTTCCGAAGAGAAAAGGGGACCTCAAGAGACGTGACCACGATTCTAAGCTCCAGAAGCTCCCCAATCAGGCCTTCTAGGGTCAGGAAGGAAATCCTGAGTTCCGAACGGGACACCCGGAGACAGCTAATCCGAAACTGCCTCATTCTCTAGTTTCCAAACAGAAAGCAAATCCCTGGTCGAAGGCCTTACCCTCCCGCAGCCCCAAGGTCGCCCTGGATCCCCCAACCCGCGTCCCGCGGCTTCCCGGCATCGGGGCTTTCAGGCCGCAGGCGGGCCGAGCAAATGACTTTGCAAAGTCGCGTTTCCATCTCTATTTCCTCCTGGGCCCCCCGGAAGCACTGAGCCAGAGTCTAGGCCGGAAAACAAAACTCGGGGCGGGGGAGCTCCCGCAACCTCGACCACGCGCAGGGCTTGGGTGCCCCTTCCGTACCTGAAAGTTGTCAGCGAAAAGCTGTAACCGCGCTCCGCCATCTTTCCCTGGAGTGCCGAAGCACATCCGCACACATGCGCACTGCGGCCGCTTTCTTTCCATTTCCCCTCCCCGCTCCTTCCTTCTTCTCTCTCTGATTGGAGGAGAGGCAGAGCCGCTCCAGGGGTCCGCTGGGCGTTGTAGTTCCGGGAGCCAGGTTTGCCCGACTCTGCATCTGTGCGCATGCTCGAGGTGAGGGCGGGACCTAACACCCAGGGGGCGGGCTTCCGGCGACGAGAATGGCGCCCGCCATGCTGGTGCTGGTGCGTGCTCCGTGGCCGGCAGCCCGCGGACTCCTCTGGAACCGTTGGGAACGACTGCGGCTGAAACTTCGGCAGAGCTGGCGAGGCTTCCCCAGGTCGCCGTGGGGTACGTAAAGTGGGGGACCGTGGAGGAGGAGCCGGACGAGAGGACCCCAGGCCGCGTGGCGGTCGCTGCTCCAACGCCGCCCTCCTCCCGCCGCTGGGGACGTCGCCCGGGTCCGTTCTATACTGAGAAGCTAAAAACCGCTGGGTTTGCTTCCCGTAGCCCCGGAAGACAGAAAACGTCCTATGTCCCCTTCGCACAGAAAACGTAACTGAAAACCGAAGCTTCTCTTAGACCCGGGCGCCGCTGTGTGCATCCTGTTTCCTTCTCTGCCTCCCACTCCCTGAAGCAGTGTACCCTCCTTTCTGGTGTTCTTTTTATTTATTTATTTATTTCTAGGAGAGAGAGAGAGAGAGAGAGACAGCATGAGCAGGGGAGGGTCAGAGAAAGAGGGAGTCACAGACTGAAACAGGCTCCAGGCTCTGAGCTGGCAGTCAGCACAGAGCCCGACACGGGGCTCGAACCCACGAACTGCGAGATCATGACCTAAGCGAAAGTCGGACGCTTAACCGACTAAGCCAGCCAGGCGCCCCTTGTTTTTGGTGTTCGAGCCCTGCAGGTGCATCCTGCTGATATCTCTGTGTTATTTTAGTTAGAAGTATCCTGAATTCAGTTAAAAATTGTCATTGCTTTGACATTTACATCTATCCTTAATTCTAAGGTATTCCGAACATCATACCCCGCGAGTCTGAACCGAGAGTCCCCGATATGCCCAGGCCTGCTTGCGCTTCCTGGGAAATCTCCGCCCACACTAGGTATCACCACGTTCAGGCGCAGAAGTAGGCTCGTGAGGATCCCAAGGTCACGCAGGCCTGCTGTTAACCACTGAGCTATGCCTAACAATACTTGTACAGATGTGTTGAAAAGGGATGCCAGTTGTTAAATGTCAGACAGCTTTGTATATATATTTTTTTAATGTTTTATTTATTTCTAGGAGAGAGAGAGAGAGACAGCGTGAGCAGGGGAGGGTCAGAGAGAGAGGGAGTCACAGACTGAAACAGGCTCCAGGCTCTGAGCTGGCAGTCAGCACAGAGCCCGACGCGGGGCTAGAACCCAGAACCGCGAGATCATGACCTGAGCGAAAGTCGGACGCTTAACCGACTAAGCCACCCAGGCGCCCCAGTTTTGTATATTCTTAAGAGCTCTTAAAACCAAAAGTAGTATTCCAGGTCTGGAGAACAGCAGGGAAAGGATAAAGGAATCTTTTTATCAACCGTTTTAAAAAAAAAAAAACAAAAACTGAAACATTGATCGTCCTGTAAGTAAATACAGAGTGGTGAGTTCTTTAGAGAACAGATAGTAATCAGGTATTATGAAGAATTAAGTGATTTAAAGGGCCTACCATGTTATATGACAAAGGATGGAATATAAGAAATGGGGAGCAAGGCCAACCTGAGTGCAGGTTGGAAATACATTTTGGGAATCTCAAGCTTAGATTGACGTGTAAAGTAAATAGGAACTGCCTGCGAAGTAGATGTGAAGTTGGAGTGGTTTATTCATGTTTACTACCAGAGCCCTGAGTTCTGTATTTCAGAAGGTGAGAAACTCTTGGTAGAATTTCAGGGATTCATTTCAGCAGGTGCCTCTAAGAAAAACTTCTATTTGTGTTGTTTAAAATTGCTTTCTGGGGGCGCCTGGGTGGTTCAGTCGGTTAAGCGTCCGACTTCTGCTCAGGTCAGGATCTCACAGTTTGTGGGTTCGAGCCCCGCATCAGGCTCTGTGCTGACAACTAGCTCAGAGCCTGGAGCCTGTTTCAGATTCTGTGTCTCCCTCTCTCTCTGACCCTCCCCTGCTCACACTGTCTCTCTTTCTCAGGAATAAATAAAACATTTAAAAAAAAAATTACTTTCTGTATAAGTTTTAGTGTATTTTAATAGCCAAGGCTTCTGTTAAATATCTATTGAATGTAATATTCTAAACTTTATATGTGTCTACTTACATCACTGGTGATTGTTAAGGAGAATGAATGATACCCGTAAACAGTCATTTCAAAGCTAGAAATCCATTCTGTGTGTCTGTGTTTTGTTTTTATAGGACCAGCATTGGCAATCCAAGGTCCAGCTGTATTTACAGAACCAACAGATGATACCAATGGAAGTAAGGAGATCTCCAGCCTTTGGGATAGTATCTTTTGGATGGCAGCTCCTAAAAACAGACGTAGCATTGAAGTTAACCGCTGTAGGAGAAGAAACCCTCAGAAGCTTATTAAAATTAAGGTAATATGCTGATTTTTGTAGGTATGCTTTCTCTCACATCCACCACTGCATGTCTTCTTGGTACTTATATGGCCTATGTGTAAATCATTCTTAGAGCTTATCTGTGTACTTTTCTCTGACCTACATAAAATAACAGCATTCTCATTATGTAGCCTAAATATTAGGACCACAGTCAAGGAGAGTTTGGAACCTGGACAGAGGATTGGGTTGTGACAAACCTGTGTGACTTTTGTTATGAGCTGGTGATTTGGAATCATGTGGGTAAACATCTTAATTACAGCAGAGCCTAAAATTAAAGTCAGAAGCAGTAGGTATATTGGATTTGTTTAACTAGCCCTTACATACTTATTCTCTTCTTCACTGTGATCATACTGTGAAGGAAAACGCTTAGGTAGGTAATAAAAAATGGCTAACATCTGTTAGATGCCGACAATGTATCTAAGTGCTTTATGTGAATTATCAAATCCTCACAACAACCCTTCAAAGTAAATATAACTTTGCTCACTTTTAGGATGAAGATAGTACTGCAAAAAGAATTTGACTGTATTCACAAACTGTTAAGCGATAGAACCAGGATTTGAGCCTAGGCAGTCTGATTCTTGAACTCACATTCTTCTCTTGAAACTTTCTGGTGTGTTCCTGTCCCCAGACAGTTCCAGATCTCCACACCTGCTCCCTTCCCCCATGGATACACTCTTCATTGATCTGGTAGACAGAAATTAGAGTGTTTACTACCTTTGCTTTGTTGACTTAAGGCTTTAACAGCCATGATTTGAGTAGTTTTGCTCTGTGACATTCACGGCAGCACACTTCAAATGAAACTCAGGAACTGAGAATCGACTCTCATAAACTTCCACATTCAGTAGTAAACCACACCCTTAGAACTTAAGCCAAAAAGTATTACCGAGTCACATTTGCAACTCGGAACTTGGACTTAGAGTCTGGAGCTGAAAAGTATGTCCTTAATTAAAGCAACAATAATTTATACAATTTGGTTTCGAGAACTTAAGATTTTCGGAATGAAAACTTATACCAGTTTGCGATGCGATTTTATTCTGAGGGAAAAGAATAGCACCCTGTGTATTTTCCTCACTGAATTGGTTCCTGCCACATGGCACATTCTGTGGCTGCTGTGGTCAGGAAGAGACCACCGACTGGAGGTACAGCTCCCAGAGCTCCGGTAGATGTGCAATCCAGTGTCAGGAGGAAAATTAGAAGTTGGTGAGGCGAGTCGTTTGCAGGGTTCTTTGCTCCTTTCAGAAAATGAAATTTTTTTTATCTTGCCTCACAGACTTTTATATATTAATCTCATGAAATGGTTGGGATTTCTTTGATGTTCCTATTTACAATTTTTCTTTTCTATTTCAAATCTACCTTTAGAACATTGTTGAAAAGATTTCTTTAGAGGTTATAATTGTCTAAGAAAGTTGGGTAGACGTGTATAAAAACTCATTAAATTTCATATTGTAGCCTAATGAGGGAGTTTCGTGTTAAGGAATAATCAGTGTTCATTCTTAAAAAAAATTTATACCATATGCCAACTATTATACCATATATGATGCATATACTTTTATACCATGTGTTTCATACCGTTAACACCAATAAATCAGGGGAAGCCAATTGTAATGTTTGTCCCCTCGTTTTCACAAGGGTAGATTGAAAGAAAAACTGAGTTCCTATCCCTTGGTCTCATTAAGATGCTGGCCATGTGGATCTTCCCCTTGGGTTGAAAGACTTCTTATCAGATGTTTAGAATTTGAAAGCGGGGTAATAGAGTATCCTTTTACGTAATATGACTGCTGTATGTACATGTATGTACATGTAAAAATGTACCAGGTTCACAGTTGGTACACCTGAGTTCTAGTGCCATTTTTTCTATTAATTCAAAGTCATTTGTTCTCTGTTTCCCTATTAAAGTGAGGTTGAATGAGACGGTGCATGACCTTATGCAACATGAACAGTCCAAGAAAGTTCGAGTGTGAACATCATTTCTGTCTGACTGATGTGCATTCTTATGCTTCTTGTTAAAATATGTTTTGTTGGCTTTTTGTTTCTTTTTTTTTTTAAGAACAATATTGACATGTGTCCTGAATGTGGTCACCTGAAACTGAAGCACGTCCTTTGTGGCTATTGCTATGAGAAGGTGTGCAAGGAGACAGCAGAAATCAGAAGACAGATAGGGAAACAAGAGGGGGGACCTTTCAAGGCTCCTCCCGTGGAGACTGTGGTGCTGTACGCAGGAGAGGCAGCATCCGAACAAGATCGGGGTAAGAGAATCATTGAACGAGACAGGAAGCGACCTTCCTGGTTCACCCAGCATTGACCAAAGGTGTTCGAAGAGGAAAACTGCATAGAAGACACTTGTCCTGGAAGAGAGGAAGATGCTTTGTTTTTATGTTGGTTTTCTGCTTGTTCTAAAATCACCAATATAGTTTAAAACATGCTCTTGAAGCAGTTAGTTTTGTGTGGGTGATTTGAAGAATATACCAGGAGTAAACCCTGAAAATGCTTGTTTATGCAGAGGCACAGAGGATTAGTATGTCTGTTTCTATTACACTGTAAGATTTTGAGTAAACCTAAAATTTCCAGTACAGAAAAATAACGTAAAATTCTTAGCTACAATTAAGTGTTTTGGGGGCGCCTGGGTGGCTCAGTAGGTTAAGCATCTGACTCTTGGTTTCAGCTCAGGTCATGATCTCACAGAGACTCTGTGCTGACGTCAGGGAGCCTGCTTGGGATTCTGTCTCCCTTGCTCTTGGCCCCTCCCCTGCTCAATCTCAATCTCTCAAAATAAATAAAAATAAACTTTAAAAATGTGTTTTGGTTTTGTTTGCCAGTGATTTTTCTTACACAAAAATACACAGATGCTTTTATTTAAGTAACACCTGGAAATAAGTTATTTAAATTCTGGGTGTTGTTTCTTCACATGGTGGTTGTGGCAGTAAGAGAAAGTTTGTTCTGTTTGGTTGTGTTTTAGCGAATTAGAATTGCCTTTGGTGGAACTCACTTTATATGGATGCATTATTGTTAATTTAGATAGAAAGCTCTTCACATTTTACATGAAGCCAAAATGACTTTAAAAATTTATTGGATGGCTCATGAGGTTTGTACTTTATAGTTTTCTAAGAGGTTTTAAAATTTTTCTGTTTTTATTTTTGAGATCTCACAGACTGTGAGATCATGGCGCGAGCTGAAGTCAGACACTCCCGACTAGGCCACTCAGGTGCCCTGGAAGAGAGTTTTAAAAAGGAGATGTGAGTAAATTCTCTAGTCCACAGAAAATGTACTAAGAATGTTATCTTTTGTGTTTTTCTCCTAGAATTTCCTTTAGTTTATTTTTCACTTTATCTCTTGCAGCCATGGCCTTTTTAATTCATTTCAAATTTCCCTTTTTCTGCCCCATTCTTGTGTCCATCGTGAGCCTGAAGTTTGCTATTTTATGTGTCTCCTGCCTTAGTCCAAAAAAAAAAAAAGTGAGGTAACTTATTAAAACATAAAAAACACACTGAGATAAATAAAGGAATTACAGTTAAATGGAAAATCAGTGGGAAAAATAATATAAAGCGTAGAAATATATTTAAGTAAAATGCATGGCACAGTAGTAGCCTGAATATTTTTTGGAAATAGGCAGTGAATTCAACTAGGAACTTTTTCCTTGAAAGAACCTACGTGTATCAACCTTCACATGGTAAGACACATGATCCAGAAATGCACTGCGTTCTTGGTACTCAACCTGAGGGCTGTTTCTCCTGTGGGATTTCATAATGAGGATTCTGTGATGGAGTATCCATGTTAGCATCCCTAGAAGTGAAATGAACCAAAATCCTGAGGAACAGTATTCACCAATACTGTGTTGAAGTACAATTTAGTAAAAGCAAATCCTTAAAACTTCCAAAATATTGCAATCCCAATAAACAACTCTTGGCTCTATCTAAGCATGAAATTCAGATTGTGGAGGGATTAATTATATGGATATTCATATTAAGGCAATCCTCTGCGAATCACTATTTCGTAAACGTTGATAAGCTTAAAAGTGATATGTGTCAAACTTAAGGTGGAATTGGCAATTCGTGAAAGCGGAGGCCAGTGAAGTACCTACCTGAATCTTCTGCTGCCGACTCAGCCTCTCCGTGTACTACACGTTGTGTAGTGTGCCTCTAGGTGACATGCTGTCCTTGACTTAGCAGCATGCTCCACACGCAGGGAGACCTAGTGAGCATATGTGGGCAGGTCACTTTACTACTCATGGATAGATAAATGTTATAAAATAGATCCCCAAATTTGATAGCAAAACCAGTTGTTAATGTTAGGAAATGGTGTCATAAAAGATTATCATTTTTGTTGAAGTCCTCTCAAAGTTATTGTAGTACATCTTACTACTTCATTCCTCCAGCTTATTGTATTAGAAGAAAAAGAACATCATGAGTTTGAATTAAGTTATTCATGTAATTGATGTGTTACTGTTCTGAACATTAGAAATGACCTCCCTCCCTGCCTGTCCCCTGCCCTCAAGACGCTAAGACATTTTGCTAGGCACTTCTGGAGAAGACGACTCCACAGGGGTTCAGGTTGTGGTTGGGAGAGGCTAGGGCCGAGGTGCATGCCCCCTCTGAGCTTGAGGCGCTCCCCTCCACCTTCCTGACTCGTGTTTAACCTGGTCCTAGCATATCACCGGGTTCTGAAAATCTGGTGTCCTGACTTCATTCCATCTCCCTGTCAGTGTCCTCATTCTGACCGTGCCCTTTTTACCGAGCTGTTGTTACCATGTGCTTTACAATTATTAGTTTCTAGTCTTCTCATATTTCTAAATACTTTTCTTCAGTAGTTTTTAAATTACAAAAGTGACACATCATTGGGGTTAATGAAACAATGCAAAGTATGTAAGCAAAAGGATCCTTTCTCTTCTACTACACCTTCTACCACACCACCTGGTGTCTATGCTTCTAAATGTCACACTGCCACCAGGTGCTTTCTAAAACACATGTCTGATTGTATCACTCCCCTGGTCAGAACCAGGCTCCTACTTAAACCCTCCCGCGTCTTCAGAGTCTGTCTAAGTCTTCATGCCTGCCTCCTGCCACAGCGTAGTGCGCCACCCCTCCCTCAGGTCATCAGAGTCACCCATCTGCAGCCGCTAGTTGACCACCTTCTCAGCAGGCTTCACTCCTCTCCCGCTGTGTTCACTGGGCTTCACTGCCTGTCCAACCTCAGCATCCTTCGGACTCACTCATTGCATCTCTTGTCCGTAGCCCTTTCACCTTCGAGTGCCCAAGGCTCCCTCCTTGGTGATCTCATCCAGTTGATGGCCTTAACTAACTCTATGTTGACACCTTCCAGTTTGGTGTTTCTGGCATGGGCCTCTCCCTTGAACTCCACACCCATGCGCAACTGCCCACGTAACATCTCCAGTCAAATGTCTGAAGGATGTCTTAAACTCGGTATCTCTGACTCCAAATCCCTTCTCTCCCCAGTCTACTTTTCTGCTACTCCCTAGACCTTTCCATCCCAGCAAATGGCAACTCCATTCTAGTTGCTCAGTCCCACGGCCTACTCCAGTCATCCTTAACTTGGCCATTTCTGTCTTCCTCTCTCATATTCAGTCTGAGCAAATCCACAAATCCACTGGTTCTACATTTAAAACTATACTTAGAATCTGACCGGTCACCACCACCTGTCACCCCAGAGTCCCCATCATCTTGCCTGGAATACCAAAGTATCCTTCTCACTGGTGTCCCTGTTGCCACTTGGTCTCCTATAGTTTGTCCCCAACACAGCAGCCAAAATCTTTTCAAAACTGGGCAAGCCATGGCTCTCCTCTCTTCAAATTCCTTTATTCAAAATGTTGCCTCAGATGAAACATGCAGATACGTACATGAGGACTTTTGCATTACATAATATCTATACCTTTTATGGATAAAGTGAGTTTTGAGATTTAGTTGTACTGTGGATGACCCCCACTTAAAGAAATTGTGGGGAGGGCGCCTGGATGGCTCAGTCCGTTAAGCGTCTGACTTAGGCTCAGGTCATGATCTCATGGTTTGTGAGTTTAAGCCCTGCATCAGGCTCTGTGCTGACAGCTCAGAGCCTGGAGCTTGCTTCATATGCATGTCTGCCTCTCCCCCAATCACACTGTCTCTCTCTTAAAAATAAATATTAAAAAATTAAAAAAAGAAATTATGATAAATCTCTTAAAAATATGAATCATTTTTCATAATTTGTGAGGAATGACTTTCAATTTCAAAATTTCTTTTTAGAAGTACAAAAAGTAGAGGGCTTTCAGCCATCCTCGGTAGGGGGATGGATCACTTTACACTCTTCTAACTGGAGAACATTTCCATCCCAGCTCCTACCCTCCCATCCCTCAGAATGTCTAAATCTGTGCTCAGGGGCTCTATCGTCTATGATTAGTGTTTCTTTTCCCGGCACGCGCACCAAAATAGATGCTCTGCCTTTGGCCACAGCTCACAAGGAGCAGTGTCATCCTGTGGCCTATATTGGTGCACAGCGTTTTAACTTGTGCCTCTAACGGAATGGTGTCTCTTCCAGCTGCTGTCTTCACTCGCGTCTGCAGCAGAGGGCAACAGAGAGTGTGTTCTGGTACCAGAGGCTATTTTTACCTTACTGGAAACGCTTTCTGTAATGGCCATGCCCTTGCCTCACCCTGCTCCTCTCTTGTCCCATTGACCTCCTTTGCCTTCCCCCTTCTCAGTGTTTGTTAAGCGGCTAGTGAGTGTTAGGGATGCAGTCTGGAGCCAGCACAGAAGGAAAGCTAGGAGGCCAGCATGATCTGGTCTCCTGGACCCTGTTTCTCAAGCTCTGAAACAGCTTGACAGTTCTCATCCTTGAAGCCAAACCCTGGAAGTGCCACAATGTACCAGCCATCCCGAGCTGCCTCGCTAGGGGGCAGCAGGTGAACCGCATTGCCTCTTCTCCAGAGAAATAATGGCCTGTCAGGTCCTGCAATGCGGGGGGACATTTTTTTCTGATTCTACCAAAGCCATACATTTAAAGCCATGGAAATGAATGAGATTATCCAGAAGTACGTAAGAGAGGGACAAAAGAACTCTACACGGAGGAGGAAATCAGGAAGATTGTCCAGCCACAGATTCCAAGAGAGGAAAGCATATGAAGAAGAAGGAGTTACCCATTCTGTCAAATGTGGCTGGGGTGAGTATCGAAGGGGGGCCCAGTGATCAGGACGAATCTCATTTGTGACCTGGCAAAACTGGTATCTGAGTGTTGCCGGCAGGAGCCAGATTGAAGTGGACTGAAGAGTAGATGGACCGAGGAGTGAAGCAGTGTTCCTAGATAGTTCTTCCCAAAATTTTCCTCTGCAAGGGAATAGAGAAATGAGGGAAAGCTACAGGAAGACGGAATGAAGAGGCCAGTGTGGCACACACGTGTGTGCTGTGAACTTATAGCTCAGACATGTGTTTATTATG